AGATTTTTATAGCATCCATAAATTGAAGGCACACATGTAAAAATGGCATTTCATCACTCAATAAGAAGGCAGCAGAAATCACTCTTTGCGATTTTTAGCTTTTGCAGCCTCTTTAAATCTTCTTACGGGAGTTTCAGCACCACAATAGGAATATATCACCTAAAGCTACATTTTATCGTTCATTTCCTCCAGCTCTTCCAAGTGGTAAATAAATCAAGCAATTAATATGGGGACTTTAACTCCAGAACAGAAAAGCAAGAGTATGAAACAACAATGCATGTGTAGAAAGAAAAAAAATATCTCTAGGAAGAACAAAGAACTGTGCGGTTTGCTGCAATGCTAAAAGCTTTAGCAATGGGTGGTGAAATATAAACAATAATAAATGCAACCCTTAACATTGTGCACCTGTAAGGTTGTTTTCCTTTCCCCATGGTTATTTCAGTTTTAGAGTAGAATAATCATTCTTTACTTGATTTACTTAATCCCATACATCTTGAGAAGACACATTGAGAAGCAAATTACACCAGAATAGAAAAATGCAACCCCACAAGGAGTCCACATGGAAAGTTAAAAATAACAACTCAGAGATCTGAGTTAGCTGCGTATTATATGAAGCCTCTCCCCCTTATTTTGGTTCACCCCAACTGCACACTCTCAGAAGTCTTAGTTCCGTGTTCCTCTCTTTAAAACAAAATTAAGAATCTGTACAATTGGTGGCTTCAGATTTTTTTCAGCCTGGGAAACAGGACACCAGGATCCGGCCCGAACTTCCTGCCTTCAAAGGGGCATTTTCTGCCATGATAGCGAGGGAGAAAGTTCAAGTCTTGTAGAGATCTTTCAGCAGGGGTAACACCCAACCTTGAGAGAAGCTTGTCAGCCATGGCTGGGACCACCGGCTGCAGCAGGAGCCCATACACCCGAAGACATTCCAGAGTGACATGGAGAATGGTCTCTTGCCACTGTCGCTCTGTGGGATCCTCCGGGCACAGCTTCCACGGCCTGTGCCTCTGGATGAAGCCATTGGTCTGCCTCACACACTCCATAATGGATTCTAGAGCCTTGTAGATCTGGAAGCGATCAAAAGAGGTGCCCACTTTCATAGGCAGGCTCTCCACCAATGACACTAGCTTGTAATCCTCTGCTAAGGCCTTGCCAGATCCACTTTGAATCCCCAGATCCCTAGGGAAGCAGGTTTCGGAGAAGATGGGATAAGCCCCACTGGGATTCAGGGCAGAGGCTGTGCACCGGTTCAGGAGCCCCCCTAAGGCGTCAGCTAGCTCCGAGTTGAGCAGCTTAATCACCTTCTCGTCATAGTAATCACAATCCCGCTCTGGGACCCCCTGTCTCAGCAGGAAGTACCGAATCCCATCTACCGTGTAGTGCCGGAAGCACTCCTTTGGGTCAACGACATTGCCCAGGCTCTTGGACATCTTCTGTCCTTGTACCGTCCAATGAGAGTGGACCCAAATCCGCAGGGGGGGCTCCAGGCCTGTAGCCATCAGCAAGGCAGGCCAATAGATGGCATGGAACTTGAGGATGTCTTTGCCCACAACGTGGCAAACGGAGGGCCACCAGGCCCGGTGCTTTTCAGGGTAACCTACAACTGTCAGATAGTTCACCAGAGCATCCACCCAGACATAGATGGTTTGTGTCGAGTCCCCAGGGACAGGGATGCCCCAATGCAGCCGGTTTCGGTCACGGGATACGGAGAGATCCGGGAGGTCCCCTTCCAGCCACTGGAGGACCTGCTGATAGGAAGGCTCGGGGCTTATGGCGTCCTTATTCTTGTACAGCCATCGCTGCAATGGCTCCTGGAACTTGGACAGCTTGAACATGTAGTTTTTCTCCCTAGTCCAGTGCACCTAAGAGGCAGGAAAGAAGTTATCACAAGGGTTTTTCTTCTGGTTTCATCAACCTCTCCAATACAATATATATTTACCCAAGCATTTATATTAATGTCTAGTTTTCCTTCTTTAGAGCTGAAGGCCACATGCATGCCTCAGAAAGCTTGCCTCCCACCCAGGAGCTCATCTTCTTCGCTTCAGAAAGCTAGCAGCATCCCGGGCCTTCCGTCTGCTTTCCCCCAGCTTTCTGGGGCTACATCTTTTGTTCACGCTATTGCCCTTTTCTATTTTTGGCGATCCTTGCTTATCAGTCTGATGTAATGCCAAAGGTGTCAGCTTAGAATTCAGGTGACTACGAGTTCTAGACCTCCCTTAGGCTGAAAACCAGCTGGGTGACTTTGAGCCTGTCATTTTCTCAGCTCAACCTACCTCACACGGTGGTTGTGGGGAAAAAGAGGAAGCAGGAGGACTAGGAACGTTCACCACCTCGAGCTGACCTACATATAGATAACTGAAATAAGCATCTAATAATAATGTAATAATACGGAGACTCTGTAGATTATTTAGAGGTGGCGTCTCCAATCTGAATGCTCTGTAGACAGGAGAGACATTCTATTATTACAGACAACTTGGTGCAGTGGTTAAGGCGCAGGCCTAGAAACCAGGAGAAAGTGAGTTCTAGTCTCAGCTTAGGCAGGAAAGCCAGCTGAGTATTTTGGATCATTATCCAGCCCAGCTGACAGGGATGATATTGTGGGGTAAATAGGAGGAGGAAGGAGATATAAATTACCTATAAAATAGTAAAAGTGGGATAACAATCTAATTAATAAATAACCACAGTATAATACTATTTGGTATTTGCATGTTATTGGCTGAATGTTAAAGCACAGCCTAGACCAGGGGTAGGCAACCTTGGCTCTTTTATGACTCGTGGACTTCAACTCCCAGAATTCCTGAGCCAGCCATGCTGAGGGGAAAGGGAGAGGTTTCCATGCTGAGCCATGCTGGCTCAGGAATTCTGGGAGTCGAAGTCATAAAAAAGCCAAGGTTGCCTACCCCTGGCCTAGAACAACCAGATTCACAAAACCTAACTACGACAAAAACATGTGCGAAGGAATAGCAAGCTGAGTGACTGAAGGCCCGAGAGAATTTGCCAGGGTTCACCATACTGTACCTGGTGCCCGCTCTCTATGGAAACCATCTGCTTGTTCCCTTGGGCATCAGGAGATTCTGTCACCTGAGATGCTGCCAGGAAGCTCTCCTCTGCTGTGCAATACCAGCCTTCGTAATCAGCTTGATACAGCCAGCCTCCATCCTGCAAGGCAGCCCAGAAGCACTCCACAGCCTGCCGGTGCCGTAGCTCTGTAGTACGGATAAAATGAGTGTAGGAGATGCTGGCCTGTGCAAAGAGCTCCCGGAATTCGGCCGATACACGGTCACAGAACTCTTTCGGAGAAATACCTGCGGCTACCGCTGCTGTCTGAATTTTTAAGCCATGTTCATCCGTTCCTGGCAAGGAAAACAGGACAACTGGTGAAGAAGCCGAGAGGTAGCCTTCTCCAACCCCTGCCACCTCTGTGCTGGCAGGGCTACTCCAAGATTAATAAGGATGAGATGGGCAGCTACATAAATTTGAATGATACATAAATGCGTTCATTCCCAGCAAGCATTCCCAGCCATTCCTGCAAACACTGCTTCCAGAATCTTTATAGAGGTTGTGAAAGCTTAATAATGGACGAAAACTTTGAGAGTTTTTCACACAAATGCATGGTTTATTGAAGAAATCCTAGTAGCTTTGCTCACATGTAATGTGATCAGCCAGGATAGAAAAACTCATCAGAAAAGCGAGGTTACAAAAAGAAATATTTGCCAATTTTCCAGGGGAAATGAGACACTCTGGAAAAGCGAGGTTGTTTTGTATTCTATTTTTAAAAAATCACTCCCTCCAGCAAAAAATCACTCCTAAAAGTTAGAGGTCCCCCCCCTTTACATTTCTGCTGTCCAAATTAGTCAAAAACCAGGGGTGCAACGTTAGGGAGTCATGCTTGGATTTTCATCAATCAGCCTACCTTCCGTCTACAACAGGACTATTGCAAAGGACAGGAAGATGATAATCTGTTGTACCGATGTTCACCACTCCAACACTGTACATAATTTATTGCACTGCAATAATATTATGCTAGCTCTGTGTTTTTCAACCTGGGCAATTAAAGCTGAGTGGACTTCAACTCCCAAAATTCCCCAGTCCGCACATCTTAAAAAGTTGGCCAGGCTGAAAAAGACTGCACCTTCTGGACCATGCGTGGCTGAAAATGCAACTCGAAAGGAAGGATGAAGTGCTTGCTTCTCCGTTTAAGCAGGGGTTCTCAACCTTGGCAACTTTAAGACTTGTGAACTTCAACTCCCAGAATTCCTCAGCCAGCTTTGCTGGCTGAGGAATTCTGGGAGTTGAAGTCCACAAGTCTTAAAGTTGCCAAGGTTGAGAACCCCTGGTTTATAGCACCTTTCATGCATCCTCGTTAGAAAGAAACCTCTCTATTCTTGCAAGCCCCGCACTTCCACCCGTGAAAGCAAACACTCGGAGTCCCTAACGCTTCCTGCACGTTAATATTAGTTTCACCCGGGGAGTTTCTAGACGGCTCCCTAGGACTCCCTTGCTTCCAAATACAGACTCGCGTCTGCAAAACCCCTAAAACCCTCGTGCACACGAGCCCCCAATCACCCCGCCGACCTGTAGCCAGCCGCCCTCCCTCGCAGCCCAGCAGCTCCCGGTGCCGGTGCAAGGCATCCGCCAGCACGGCCGAGTAGAGGTGCCCGATGTGGGGCGGGCCGTTCACGTAGAAGATGGGCGTGGAGAGGAGCAGCCGCCGGGACCCGCACGAACTCCGCCGGAGACCCTCGCCGGGCTCCGCGAAGCGCCGGAGGAGAAGCAGCGCCGGGCGGAGGAGGAAAGCGCGCGCGGCGCGAGCCTGCAACGCCGGCATGGCAGCGGGTCCCGGGGACAGCCCCGCCCCTCCGCTCCGACGGCCACGCCCCCTCGCTCGCCTGGGAAGCTAAGAGTGCGGATGCCTAGAGCGGCGGGGCCGCGGCGGCGGCGCGCGCCCAAGGACAAAGCGGGCGAGCGTTGGCGCGCGTGCGCAGAAGAGGGAGAGGTCCGTCCCCTGGAAGCGGAGGGGTTGAGGAGGAAAGGAAGGTGAGGTGATCCGCCTCGGAGCTCGTGCGGGCCGCCGCCGTCGCCGTCGCCATGTCCCGCTACCGCTTGGGAGCCGCCCTGCTGCGGGCGGTGGGCCCAAGGTCGCGTTTCCTGCAGGGGCCAGGTGAGCGGAGCATCGCCGGGCGGGGGAGAACCTGGAAAGGGATCGAGGGGGAGGGGCTTGTCGAGGGGGAGGGGCTTGTGCGGAAGCCTGGACTTCCCCCCCCTCCCCGTGTCCTGCCCTCTATGACAGTGAGGGGGGGGGTCGTCTGGGGCGGGCGAGGTTCTCTAGTCCGGGAGCCCCATCCCCTTCTTTAATTGACCCATTTGCTCGTCCCAGCCCCCGGACCCCCCGCCATGCAGGGACCTCCAGTGGCCGCGAGTTCCGCAGGAGCCGCTGAAGGGATTGGCTGCCCGTCGCCAAGGTCGTGACAGGCGCAGGGAGGGAAGCGGGTGCCCTTCCGCCCAGGCAGCTTCGCCCCGCCGATCCCGCGCCCTTCCCGGGGAGGAAGCTGGAGAAAGGCGGCGGGGGGAGCCCGCTTCTAATGGAGACGGCTTGTGTCTTAGGGGACTACTTGTAGAACTGCTTGATTAAATGTGGACCTTCAGGAATTGTTCCTTAAGGAACTTCAAATCCAGATCAACAGAACTAGAAGAACTGTTTCTTCTTTCTCATTTCCTCCATTATGAAAACACGATTGCTGATGATACCTTCAGGGTATTGTTTAGAAGAAATCGTTTGTACTCTTCACAGGATAAAAAAAAAAAGACAGAACAAAATCTAAATCCCCATTCAGATAAAATGTAAGCAGTTACTAGTACTAATAAAAAGAAAACACGGGTCTGAGTAGCTAAAAAGATGTCCTTCCTTCTCCCGGATGGCCGGAGGGGAGGAAGGAGCAGCCCCGGAGGGCGCCAGGTTGGAGGTTGGGGGGGGGGGGTCTCCTTGCACAACGGGACGTCCTGGTCTGACTTTTAAAATTAAAATTTAATTTTTTTAAAAAAATTAAAGTTGTATGTTTTGCAAAAATTAAGATGACTGCTCATTCCGAGGGACGTCCCCACAACCCCTCCCCCAGTACTGGATTAAAGAGCTGAGATTAAACTAAATTTCTGAGGATTGGGAAGAAGGGGCATCTGAACGCTGTCCCGGAGGAGGGGAGACGGAGCCTGAAAAAGCAAGTTTCTCTGGCCCTTTGGGTGGCAGTCTCTGATCAAGGGGACGTAGGAAGCGCCTGCCCGACTAGATCGAACTGGAGGGCCGCTATTTATCACATTTATTTACCGCCCATCTTGGGATTCAGGCGACTCTGAGCGGCTTACATCAGGATGAAAAGATATGCTGTATATAACAAGGATTGTAAATATAAAAATGAATCAAAATTACAAAACTTAAAAGTGAGCTAAAAAACAAGGGTTTGGAGGGGAAGCTGTGTGTGTGTGTGTGTGTGTGTGTGTGTGTGTGTGTGTGTGTGTGTGTGTGTGTGTGTGTGTGTGTGTGTGTGCCTCCTCTATTAGTGTATCAATCCCCTCCAGCCAGCAGCTTCTCCTTCAGGACCCCAAGTTTTACTCACTGTCCAGAACCAAGTTTTAAAGACTTTTCTGAAGGCTAAAAGAGGGAGATATTACCCAGAAAGTTGTCCTTTTCTAACTTGGCGCCTACCCGACCACTGTGTGATGTCAACCACTGTCAACTGGTTGTAATGGGAGCAGAGTCTGCTCGTGGGTGGCTTGGCCTTGTTCTCATCCATGGCCTATTAAAGTGCATCATTGACACTCTTCCCTCCTCGTAAATTGTGTTCCCAGGCCTCTTTCAGCAATGGAAGGCTCCCTCAGAAGGACAACCCTGCAGGCAAATGGCCACCTCTAGTCTTGCATGGCGCTACAACAAAACTCTCTACACCACCGTGGCATTGAGCATCTTTGCAGCTGGAAATGCGTACTATGTAAGTAGAGAGGCTGACCTAGAACAGAAATCCAGTCTCCTCTAACACACTGGTTACCGTAACCTGTACTCCTGCTTACTATGGGTAGTCCCCCCCCCCCCGTTTCTCTGCAGAATATTAAGAGGAAGCTTAAAACCTAAGAAGCCAGTGGTGGGCTTGGCTCAGATGTACCCTTTCTCCTTTCATTCTTTCAATTAATTTCCTGAAAGACATGCAGAAAATGAAATAATGCCTTCTCAACATCTGGTGTATAAAAATCAACTTGCAGTCCTAGATGTTTGCAGAAACCAGATCCCCGGATATCAGAGACACTAGAATAATCAGTTTTCATTCTTTTTAGACTCTGGTGTTGTGCACTTTGGAAATCTCAGTTGGCTGTGGCCCTGACATTGGCAACGAGAATCCAGTGTGCTACTTCATTATGCAGGGAGTGTTCATCACAGATTGAGTCTGGAAGGGTAATGGCATGGTTTTGTGGACACTGGGCCTTTTCGTGTCCACCAAGGAAGATGTATTCTCATCATTCAACTCAATCTCAGGTCGAAGCAGACTTTTAAAGGATTGCTGTAGGCTTATGGCAAGCTTCTTTATCCCAGCTCAGTTTATTGCTGGTTGTCATTCAACCCAAAACCGTTTTTAACTTAGAGAAATTGGTATGGATTGGCAAAACACAAAGTGACCATTACTTTTTCAAGCTGTCCATCGCACTCTCTGCGTAGGCAAGGGGATGGAGACTGAACAGTTTTAAAAAAGTGTTCACACAACCACACTGGAAAAAAATCTACCTTTCAGACCATCTGTTTGAAGCAGCTTAAGAACAGTTTCTGTTTATAGAAATTTCTGTGCTTTCTTCTCCATCTGACTGCTTATTTGTTAGAGACTGAAATATTTTTATTTCTAAAATAGAGCTATTTTAGCTATAGCAAAATGCAAACTTGAAAAAAAATGGGAGTTTTCCCCCTGCCCCCTAATAGTGTTATGTTAAATATTACCTTTTTGGTTACACAGGGATATGAAATTTTGAGGAGGGCCCGACAGCGTGATGTGGACCGTGCAGAGAGGTATGCGCGCATGGATGCCCAGATCAAGGCACGTCACTATTAAGGTAAGAGCGAAGCTGTAGCAGATTGGCATTTATACTTGGATACTCTGAGGAGGAATTGTTAAATGGCTTTTTGTAGACTAAGTATGCAAATTTCTAGGGACTGGTGATCTCTAACTGTAATAGGGCGAGGACCAACATTTGGAGTGGTTCTGGAGGAATTAACACCGAGGGATTTAGGTGTGAAATATTTAGTGCTTTGGAGCTTTGCCATACTATATGTGCCATTTATTGAGTTCAGTAAGGTCAAAGATGTCCAACTTCCTGTGGAAGTTCATGTAGAATTATTTAATTCCTGCGTGCTATGTTACCAATTAATTTACAACCATATTTTTCAAATGCAACATGTTTTTTTTTTAATCCCATTTCATTTGTCCTACTCTTTTTTCCCCATCTCCCTCTGCAATATTTATATATCTTGAGTTTTTAATAAAAGTTTGAAGAACCTGCCTGTACAAATATATCTGCTGTCAGGCAAATACTTTTTGTAAAATTTTATCATTCCTTGTGAGCAAAAAAAAAAATCAACAAGAGCCAAGAATTGTATAGCATTCATAAACTTAAAGACACGTAAGTAAAACTGGCGTTTGATCAGTTAATAAGAAATCTATAAAAATCATATTCTCTCACTAGTTGCAGGTTGGTTGACTTTCTAATCTTCTTCCAGGAGCTTGACAGCACCAGAAGTAATATCAACTAAAGCCACATCCAATTACTCATCTCCCCTGGCTCTTCACTGTGGTAAATAAATCAATTAATATGGGGAATGTAACTCCAGAATACAGAAACAGCCATGAAGATCAGTTGAGTACTGCAATCAAAGATTTGGTGGCAGTTTCCTTACTTTAAGCATAAAACTTTTCACAGTGACACAGTTATATTTAGAAGCAGTGTCAAGTAATAAAAACATGTGGAAAGAACAAAGAATCCTGTGGTATGTTACAGTGCGAGAAGATGTGGCTGTAATTGTGGATTATTTTTCTCTCTTAGCCTCTACATTTTGTCGTCTATAAAGATGGAGACATAAATATGTATGAATAGAAAGCACAGAAAAGCCTCTTGTACAGCAGTAGGGGAAAAATGGCTACTTGGCTTTTATTCCCACTGTCAAAACAATAACTTCAGTATCTCCCTTTAGCTCTGTTGTTTCACTCATATGAAACGAATCATTATGGAGATTTTTTTTCTCCTTGTATAAATGCTTGATATTTTATTAACAAAATATTCTCCACCCACCAGTTTCTTTGGGAGAGTTGGGGAAGTTATGGAGGATTTCTGAAAAAGGTTTACTTGATGTATTAAGCTAAGGTTTGTTTGACCACTTTTTTTTACTGATACAACATAACCAGATGGGATCGTATTACATGCTAAACCATAACCATTCATACAACATACTGAGCCAAATTCAAATCAGTGGTGAATCAGTTTCTTCCACATTCCGATCAATTTAATCCAGATTAAACATTTCTTCTGCCCCCCCTCCCATCAGCCCTTTCAGGGCCAAATGTCAAAAGGGCACCAGCAAGGTGACCCGAATGGGTTTTCGTCAATCAGCCTTGCCTTCAACTACAATTGGATTAATTGGGTATGTCTAGTTTAACAAAGAGAAGGACGAGGGGGGACATGATAGCAGTGTTCCAGTATCTCAGGGGCTGCCATAAAGAAGAGGAAGTCAAGCTATTCTCCAAAGCACCTGAAGGCAGGACAAAAAGCAACAGGTGGAAACTAATCAAGGAGAGAAGCAACCTAGAACTAAGGAGAAACTTCCTGACAGTTAGAACAATTAACCAGTGGAACAACCTGCCTCCAGAAGCGGTGAATGCTCCAACCCTGGAAGTTTTCAAGAAGAGACTGGACAGCCATTTGTCTGAAATCGTGTAGGGTTTCCTGCCTGAGCAGGGGGTTGGACTAGATGACCTCCGAAGTCCCTTCCAACTTTATCATTATTATTATTATTGATGAGCTGAAGTCCTTTTTACTTTGCACCAAAATTCACCACCGCCCACACCCCAGGACTGTACACGCTGCATTGCAACTGCGTTATACCAAGTGGACCAAGGAGAATGAGGTCTTTGCTTCTCCATTTATAGGTCTTCCTGTTAGAAAGGATGCTATTTTTGCAAGCCCTGCACTTCAAGCAAACATGCTTACCAAGTTCCCCTGATTCCCTAAGGTAGGGGTAGACAACCTTATGACTCGTGGACTTCAACTCCCAGAATTCCCGAGCCACCACGAGCCCAGGTTGCCTACTCCTGCCCTAAGGCTTCATCCACGTTGGTCTAAATTTCACCCAGGAGTTTCTAGCCGACTCCCTCTGGCTCCCTTGCTTCCAAATACAGACACGCGTCTGCAAAAAACCCCTGAGCTCTCGTGCACACGACTCCCCAGCCCTTCCTCGCAACCCAGCAGCTCCCGGTGCCGTTACAGAGCATCAAGCCGAGCACCGCCGAGTAGAGAGAGAGAGAGAGGACCGTTGCGGGGCGGGCCCGTTCACGCAGAGGTCCCGCAGGAACTCCGGCGGAGACCCCCCCCCCGCCCGGCTCCGCGAAGCGCCGCACGCGGCACGACCGAGGAAGGTCAAACGCGAGCCAGCCACGCCCCTTCGCCACGCCCCCTCGGGCGTAGAGTACGAGGGCCTAGAACGGCGACGGTGCCGGGCGTCGCGCGCGTGGCCGGCCGTGCGCGTGCGCAGAAGGGGGGGAAAAAGTCCTACCGGGAGGGACGGGGACGGCGAGCCGGGGGTGGCCGCTCGAGCACGCTGGGAGCCCGCAGCCCCGGCCGTCATGTTCCGCTGCCGTCTCAGCGCGCGGGTAGCGCAGGTGCTCGGCCGAAGGTCGCGTTTTGTGGCGGGGCCAGGTGAGGGGGGCTTGGCTGGGAGGGGGCGAGTCGGAGAAATCGGGGGGGGGCAGGAGCCGCGGAAGCCCCTCGCCCTCCCTCCCTCCCTCCCTCGGAGGGGCTCACCGGGGCGGGGAGGATTCACTAGCCCGGGAGCTCCATCCCCGTCTTTAGCGGTCCTCGTGTGCTCATCCCAGCCCCCCGCCCGCAGGGACCCCCCCCTCTCCCGAGCGAACCCCGATAAAGGCGCCGATCCTCCAGTGGCCGCGAGTTCCGCAGGAGCCGCTGAAGGGCCTGGCTGCCCGTCGTGACAGGCGCCAAGGTCGTGCCAGGCGCAGGGAGGGAAGCGGGTGCCCTTCCGCCGGGGCTGCTTCGCCCCGCCGATCCCGCGCCTTTCCCGGGGAGGAAGCTGGAGAAAGGCGGCGGGGGGGGGGGGAGCCCGCTTTGGGCGGGGGCTCTGCGGGTGGCCGGAGGGGGGGGAGTGGGGCAGCCCCGGAGGGCGCCAGGTTGGAGGTTGGGGGGGGGTCTCCTTGCACAACGGGACGTCCTGGTCTGACTTTCAAAATTAAAATTTAATTTTAAAAAAAAATTAAAGTTGCATGTTTTCCAAAAATTAAGATGACTGCTCATTCCCAGGAACGTCCCAACAGCCCTTCCTCCAATACTGGATTAAAGAGCTGAGATTTCACTAAATTTCTGAGGATTGGGATTGAACGCTGTCCCAGAGGAGGGGAGACAGCAGCCCTGCAGGGAGACAAGTTATAGGAGCTTCCTGGCACAACCTGTTTGTGTCTTTGTGTGTGTGTGTGTGTTTTTGTGTGTAAGGTGAACGTCCTGGCTTTGTCCAGAGGCTGGGCTGTTTGCTAGATCCGCCTAGGGCTGAAATTCATGGCTAAATGTCTATGGAGGTTCTCAATCATCCCTGTCATGGTTCTCCCAAAGGTGCTTTTCCAAACGGCAACTGGACTTTCTTGAGTTTTTTTTTTTCCTTGAAAACATTTGGCTTCCCGTGCAAAAAGCTTCTTGCACGAAAAGCGAAATGTTTTCAAGGAAAAAACAACAACAAGGAAGTCCAGTTGCCTGTTGAAAAAGTCACCTTTGGGACTGAAACCCAGGGGTTGCTCAGACTTCCAGCTGTTGCCCTGCCTTGTCTTTGCAAAATGCCACTTTTCCAATCAAGAGAAGCCAAACTTCTTTAGAAGTTTCAGAACAGGGATCCTAAAGGGACATCAAAGCCGTTTGTAATTGTAGTTTGGAGTTTTTGAAACTTCCGCTTATTCCTCAAAGGCCTTTGTTGGTATTTGTGAGTTGTATATTCTATCAGTGCTTGTTCTCATCTGTTATACTGGGCCTCTTGAATTAAGTCTCAGTGCATAGGGAATGTTGCACATGTGTTTACATGTCTAAGGGTGCCGTCGGCCAAGCAATGTCGGCTGGCGACCCCCAGGGGGAGGGCCTTCTCTGTGGGTGCCCCCACCCTCTGGAACGAACTACCCCCCGAGATCCGGACGATTCCGGATCTCCTAACCTTCCGCCGCGCCCTCAAGACATGGCTTTTCCAGCAAGCGGGACTGACCTAGGGTGAATTTTAAATAGGGACAATTTTAATGATTTTAATAAGACACAGCTATAAATATTTGGTTTTTAATTGGCTTTTATAGGGGAAATGTTTTGTGTTGTTTTAACATGCTGTGAGCCGCCCTGAGTCCCGTGGGGAGAAGGGCGGCATATAAGTTAATGGAAATAAATAAATAAGTGTTCAGATTTTACAGTTAAAACTACTATCTCCCAGATAAATGTGTTTGCCAAGTGTCGCCAGTTGAGAAAGAAATGGATAAAACTTACTATTGCATATAAAAGCATCCAGATATCATTTCAGTTATTTACCCTCTATGTCTTATATGGAACAAGTTATAATAAAGGTGTCATTTGTAATATTAAACTACCAAGTTAAAGTTCACCAAGAAATTGATGAAATGCAGCATATAATTAAATTAAATATAATTAATTAAAATAATAAGAGGGTCAAAGACTCCTCCTGTTTAAATTCTATTTTATTAGTACTCTGAACCCAGCATGTAGACTGCCGTCATGCATTGCACTTAAACAGTTGTTTAGCACACCTTATGAACAACCCAAAAGAATTAAAGTTCTTCTTTCTAGTTTTAATTTAGCATAATAGACCAGTTAATCTAAACATTCTAAACTCTAACCATGTGAAAAATATGGGAGAGAGCATGAACCTGAGGTTTGCTATGGCGTGTTCCTGCTTGCACATGACATCCTGGGAACTGTAGCTTAAGCACTTTTGGACCTGCTGGCTTGAGACCATCTTTTGCATAATATATTTAGTGACTTATAGATGCACAGATTAATCGGAAGTGAATGAAAATGGATGCGTGAATTTTATTCTGACCCTATTTCTGAAAAGAGGGCTACCGTTCTGAGCCAGTGTTTGAGAGCAATTTTAAGTGATTCCCCCCCCAAAAAAGGGTGTTCAACCTCGAATAGTTTTAAGAATTGTGGACTTCCAGAATTCCCCAGCCAGCATGCTGGATGCCTGTGATGTCAATCACTGTCATCTTTGGCCAGTCAACTGGCTGTAATGGGAGCAAAGCCTTCTCTTCATCAATGGTTTAATAAAGTGCATTATTGACAATCTCCCTTCCTAATAAATTGTGGTTCCAGGCCTCTTTCAGCGATGGAAACCTCCCTCAGAAAGACAACTCTGCAGACAAATGACAACCTCTAATTATTCATGGCAGCACAACAAAACACTCTATACCTCCGTGGCATTGAGCATCTTCGCAGTTGGAAATGCGTACTATGTAAGTAGACTCTGGATGGGCAAGAAAAGGAACCCAATCTGCTCTTAACAAGGTGGCTATCCTAGCCTGTAATCTTGCTTCCCGTGGTCCCCCCCCCCTTCCCGGAAGTTAGAAATATTGAGGACAGAATTTGGGATGGTTGGGGAAAAAAACCCTCTCTGCTGCCTATCCCAAATGGACAGTGCGGTGGTTAAGATGCTGGGCTTGTCGGCTGGAAATCCAGCAGTCCAGGTTTGAGACCCAAGTGCCACATGACG